GAGAGAGAGAGAGAGAGAGAGAGAGAGAGAGAGAGAGAGAGAGAGAGCCCATCCATGGACACAAGAAGCCTGGTTGGCAATTTCTCTTCATCATTGGCAAGTTCCAGGCCACGTTGCTTTCGCAAACACTCTCTCAGCCTTTCTGGTTTGCCTCATTTGGTATTTGATACCTTCTATCCTGTCCTGGGCCTGAATTCCTTCGCCAAGGTCTGACACAGACTCCTAGGCCCTTTTCTAAATTCAGGTGTGGGCTCACAGAGCCTGCTTGTCAAATACTGGCCTCCTCTGAATATCAGCCCCATGGGAGCCAGCAGTGCTAAAGAAGGGTGTGATCCCTTTAGAGCTGAGAGCAGGCTCGGGTAAAGCCTGCCTTACTGGGGATGGGCACCTCCCTCAGAAGAAACATGGCCCGGTCACATGATCCACTCTGGAGGCTGTCGCTCTAGTCACTCCTTTTCAATAAGTTGACTTTCCCAGCTCCTTAGGGAAAGGAGCCAAGGATTCCTTCATAGTTTCGAGCCATAGAAGTCCTGTACCAAGTGCCAACAACAGCAGAGCGGAGTCTAGAGGGAGAGACTGAGATGATGGCAGGGTCTTCCTCGTTACCAACACAGTGACAGCACTGCCAGCTGTAGCCTTGCCTGGGGTCCACAATTCCTCCAAGGACGGGGCTGGCACGTCAGCTCCTTCTGAACGGATAAAGGCAGTGGTGACCTCACTGTCTCACTTGCACTGCGTTTATTTAGCTCCTCTACCCCTGACACGGCTTCTTCGGAAGCAGCTATTTCTCCTGCCAATCACATTGTTTCTGACGCCACACACGCTTGCTCATGGCTCTGCACGTCAAAAATAGACTGAAAATCACGACACGCAAGCAAGGATCTTTTTTGTCCCCATCCCATCATTTCCAAGCACTTAGAAGCTGGCACCGGGGATGCTTGAGGGCAGAGATGGAGTGACTTGGCGCGGGATGAAAGAGTAAGGCTTCCTGTAGATTCCCTTCTGTCGACAAAGGAGCGGGAGGAAGGCAGTAGGTGATGTTCCTTGCTGGTGTCTTATTTCCACAGAAGAGCAGGCCTAGAGCAGGGCTTAGTGGGAGCACTCTTGGGGTCTGGGGATGTGCAAACATTTGTCATTGCTACAGATTACAGGTCTGCTCGTGTGCACCCCCCGTTGTCTGTCTCCGTCATATGTGCATCTGCTCTCTCTCTCTCTCTCTCTCTCTCTCTCTCTCTCTCTCTCTCCCTCCCTCTCTCTCTTTTTAAGTGCAGTCCTCTTGTATCCTCCTCCAGCTCGTAGCACATTAGAATGCTGAGCACTTGTTTTGGCTCGTTCTTGTATTTGCCGTGTACAATTTTGAATTACCCTATCCAAGCCTCTAAGCTGTTACTACATAACTTATCTTTACTGTAACTCTTTTCTTTGCCTACATTGTATTTGTTTGTGATGTATATTGTGAGATTGTATTCTATGTTAATTTAATCAGCACAACTCACTGACATGCTGGACTGACATGCTGGCTGCTGTTTGGAAGTGTAAAGCTTGTGTAGGGCTGTCCGGACAACTACAACTCTGTTGTCAAGGTACTGTGCATTGGTTCCCATAGCAACACTGTGGGTGTGGCCCTTTAAACTCCAGGGACATTCAGCACACCCTCCAGCAAATTTTAAGTGCAGATTTTCTTTGTTGAAATTCTATGAATACCACAGGTACCTACTTGGCCCATGGCTGGTAACTATTTTGGGCAATTAGAAAAACAAGCATTAAAAAACTAGTGTCTATTGCTGCTTTGAATATGTTTGAAAGTCTGAAAATGTAAATAGTTTATCAAAAAAAATCTTGTACAGTCCAGTGTAAAGTTTTTAAATGACCTGAAGGGTTACCATCACAGCTTTTGCGTGCGCTCTCCTCTGGATAGTGGAAAAGAGAAGTTTGCTAAGGACTGAACGGAACGGGGACTTCGGATCGGAAGGCATGAATCACTGCCCTTAGCTTGTCAGATACACAGACCTCTTGGATCTTGTCGGACAGTATTGGCATGAGACAAACTCAGCATGGAACACCCTCCAGTGGAACTTCTGCAGGGCTTCTTCCCTGCTCTGCCTCACCATTACGGGAAAAGATGAGATGGAAAGGCGTGCCGTCTTTGTCTATCCTGGAATATGTTGGCACCTTAGCTACTTTTCCCCTTCTTTGCACAAGGTGCTTTCCTGATGTGTTAGACATGCCATCCTTGGGTGATAATGTATATGCCATGATGGGGCTCAGGCCCCGGGGGAGTGTCTATAGGAACTGCCTATTTATGCTCGTTTACCTCAAGACTGTCCTCTACCCTAAACTAGCTGTCATCACTCCATCTTTTGTACTGCTGTTGACACTTACCAATTAAAGATAAATTTTGTTTTATGACATCTGCGTTTGCCTTAGTCTATGTCCCCAAACCTTTCCTCCACAGAGCACAGCAAGACCCAAACGTAGAGACACCTTCTGCCAGAGCCTGGAGGTCCCAAGCTTCCTCTGGTGGTGTCTGTCTGAACCCACTACAAGGGAGGGAGACTGGGCTGAGAGTTTCCAAGCCCTTCCCTTGGCAAGACAAGCCTGTGTCTCCTGGCCCACACTACTGCAACAAGACATGCTTATGAGTTCTTCAAAGATGAGAGGGAAGGTCACTGCCTGTCTCCTGACTTCTTTTGGAGAGCGAATGAGCTGGAATAAATGGGAAGACCCTCAACATCAGCCGCTCCCCCAACAGCCCACCTCCCACTGAGTTCCCTCACCTATTTCCTCCCTCACCCAGCCTTTCTAAACATCGTACATGGGGGTGTCTCCTCAGTGACTCCTGCCTTCTGCAGGAAGCTCCCAGCTCCTTCCACAGTTGAGTCCCCCTAGAGCAATGGTGGCAAATACCTAGAGCAAGGTATTTGCAGATAGGTGCAGATAGGTTCAAAGGGGCTCAGAGTCTGAGGGACCAGAGTGGGTGGGGTCTCCTTAAAGTAGGCCAGGCCAGAGTAACAGGGTGGGGTGCCTTCTTTTCTTGGTATTCCCTAGACAAAGTCCTCTTAGAGAGGAACCAAGAATCTGTGGAACTTTATCCCAAGCAAGTTGACCCAAGCTGGTTTAAATCTAGAACCTTGCCTCACAAGGGCCCCCTCCAGCCCCCAAAGGTACTTGCCGTTTTGTTTTCTGCTTTTATGAGTTTTTGTTTGTTTCTTTGTCTGTTCTGTCCAGAGTCTCAGGCAGCCCAGAGTGACCTGAAGCTTACTATGTATCCAAGGCTAGCCTTGAACTCCTAAGGCCTGAAATGGTATTCCCAGTTGCCCATAGGTTTTGAAAATCCTAAGTAAGCCTGGCATTGAAGAGGGGACTTTGGAATCACGGGCGCCTGGCTCTTCCAGCTGAGCCAGGTTTTCCCTTCTGTCAAATGGGATCGTGATCTCTGCCTGTCAGGGTGCAGGAGCCTGGGGTGGGAGCAGCATGGCTTAGATTGCAGGTATAAGATGCTGCAGCGGGTCAACACAGAACCTGCTGAGCCAAGTAAAGGACGAGGCCTATCTGAGGCTCTGATTCCCTCTTGCAAACTGTCTTCACTCCCAGACCATCCTCTGCCTCTGGTCTTCATAAAGCCCAGGTCTTCTCCCATGCTTTCCTGTAGCCGATAGTCCTACATGATGAGCAGCTCAAACTCTCTTCCTGCCTTGACAGCCAAGTCTTCACATGTTCATGGCCTCATCTTGTTCAGCTCTAAGGTACCCACAATTCCTTTCTGCGTCTCTCAACACTCCTCTGGGCCATGCAGTTTCCCTTCTTCTGAGTTAAATCTCATCCTTCTATTTGGGAAATCTCCACTTACTTTTGTCACCAGGTTCTTGGGTCTTCCCCAGGCCCCAGTTTCGGTGTTTGCGCACAACACTTTGGAAGGATATGTGTGCCTCAGTTTCCATGTTGTGGCTATTGTTATACCGTGTTTTTCTGAGGAGGAGAACTAAAACTCATAGAAGTCAAGTCCATTTCTGGCCAACGAGAGTGTGAGTCGTTCTTAGATCTAACTCTTCCAGGTCTTTCTGGATCAGAGTTTCTTTGCCTGTTTTGGTTCTTCCTTACCCCTACATTTTTAGTCAGTATATTATTTCCCCCATAGATCAGACCAATTCTTGATGGAAGTCTCCCAGGAGCAGAAGGCTTTATTGCTTTATCATGGTCCACAGTTTGAGGGTTCAGTCCCTCATGGTGGAGGTGTCTGCAGGGGTCTCACGGGCTGGCATCCACAGTCAGGAAGCAAAGGACAGTGGGTGCCGGTATGTGGCTTGCTTTCTTCCTTTCATTCAGCTTAGGACCCCTAGCCCATCGAATGGGGATACCTACATTTAGGGTGTGTCTTTCCTCCTGGTAAACTCTGGAAACTCAACTCCCCAGAAATGTGTCTTCTAGGTGGTTCTGAATGCGGTCAAGCCAACAAGATGGACCATCACAGACCCCCTCCCTCCAGCTGTCTTCCTCCTCTGCTCACTCCTAACTGCACCTGTGCCCAGGCCAGAGTGCAGCCCTGTTTGCCTCACAATGTGGTGGTTGTATGTTCAGAGTGAACATCATGTGAGAGAAAGAGGCACAGGCCAAGTTGTGTCTTTTTTTTATACCCCAAACTGCAAGTCAGGATTCCCACCTCATTTGAGGGTGGTGGAAAACAACCCTACCTCTGTTGGCAGAGTTATGGAAGGGTCTGGGTGCTGCCATGACCCTCTGGCAAGCATAGTCTGCTACATTAGGTGCCTGATTGTGGTACCCCCACACCCAATA